GGAGGTCAATGGGGGAAAAAGGAGACATATGTACTATCTGTAATACTTTAAACAATAAAATAAAGAAAGAAATAGGCTTGAAGGGAAAGAAACAGCAACATCATGAAAGGGCCCCTCTTATCTCTGGCTTGTGGCTGACTTCCCTTCTGTCTGTCTATCTTGGTGTCTTACAGAGCATTTCAGCAGCAGGGTGGGCAGCCCACTAGCAACTCCCTGTGTCTCTTACGTAAAAATTCTCAAAGCAGTACATCCTACTACTAGTAAATCCAGTGCCAGAAGTCCTTTGTTTACCTAGTCAGCTATGGATAGGCCCACTGTGGGCAGGTAATTACTGCTGGTTCCATTGCCTCTGATCAGTTTCAGCTATATCCACTGGGCATCTATGGGTTTGTTCAGATTCTCTAAGGTGGGGGTTTTGAGGGTGAGGTGGGCAGAGCATGTCCTCTAAAACACATCTATTACCAAGAGATAAAACCAGGATTTGAATCTAGGTCTTCAGATTCCCAAACAAATGCTTATTTCATTTGAAGAAGTAAAATTACAAGTTAAAAACATCAAGTTCTTTTGACTTTTTTCCTTTTAATAGCTACTAGCAGTCAGCCCATATATCACAATTTGAATATAATAGTATGTATACATATGCATGTGTAAAGATTGCCTGATCTCTTTTTTCCCAAAGGTGGCAAACTGTTCATGGTGGTTTCACTGTGGAATTGTGCAAGAGCATTCATTTTTAGCTCTTTTGTTTTAGAGAAGTGATGTAACAGCCGAACCCACAGCTCTACAGACAGAACTACACACCAGAAGGTATGACAATCAGTTTTCTTTTCACATGTGTATTATATATTTTTCTAACATAAAATTAAGTTTTCTGGGTCACATAAAGATATTCATGAATAAGTTTTTGGTTTGGGACAAAAGGAAGCCACCAAAGTTTTCTCCACTGGACAGCACTCTAAACAAAATGAAATGTCTGAGATAAAAACTTTCTGCTGTGGGCATACAAGTGGAGAAAAAGTAATAACCCAAGAATAATTTAATGCTAGCAATAAACAAAACCTAGAAATATTATTGACATATGAGGCATGAAGGAGTTAATTTCTTTTTTTTACTCTTATTAATGGAAAGTATTTCTGTACTCAACCTGAGGCCAAAAAGCAACCAAATAGTTTATCTGATCCATCAGAACGTATTGCTGAGGCTGAAATATTCTAAGTAGTACATGAACCTAAAATGATTAGTATTTAGTAAAGTCGTAGACTGTCAACTGATTTGTCATAAATATATGACTCCAGATGTTCACCTGGAATATACCTGGAGTATATACTCCAGTAAGTACATTGGAATGCAACTCAGTGGGTTACCTGTCTTGATTATTGAACTCTAATTTTTTTAAAAAAAACCTCTGACTTTGTTGCAAACACTCCTTATAATGCTCTTCAAATAGAATTCTCGAAACATTCTATTACAATAAAATTGTAAATAGACTTCTAAAATGTCATGCAAGAGGTTTGGGGGTAAATGAACACAAAAGATACCTCTTGGCGGTTTGAGACAAGAAGAAATAAATAGCATTCAAATACAAAACAAACAGTTCTGAACTCCAACTGGATTAATGGCATTCTTTTAACCACCGAGCAGGCACACCTATTCATGATCTAACTCATCCTAGCCACGGTGCAGAAACAACCCCTCTGCTAGAATTGGATTAGTTGCAAGGGTTTGCAGGGGATGCGAGAAGGAAGGAGAAATCTGTCCAGATGTTCAGTTTGTCTCTATAGAAACGGACTTTGCAGCAGGAGGTAGCTTGTTTCCTTATCACCTCTTCGCTGCCTTTCTGTTTCAAAGAGAGACATAACCAAGGCCCCGAGTGCCGCCATCGGGGGTCCCGAACGGGTCCTCCTGGGCGCCCCTAGCATTCCAGCCCGCGGGTCCTCTCTCCCGCTCTCCCGCGCGCAGGGTACCCGCACTCACCATCTCGATGATCTTGGTCTTCCGCCCCGTCTTCCTCTTCAAGGTGAATATGTACTGGGCCAGCACCACCCCCGCCACCAGGGCACACACGCTGGCGCTCGCTACCGCGCCCATCTTCGCCACGGCCGCCCGATCCATGGGCAGATCCTCGTGCGCCTCCCCAGCGGAAAAGAACAGGTCGCCGGGCCGCTGGGGGCCTTAGAAGCGCGAGCT